CTCCAATTTTAAGGGTAAATTGGACTTTTTACCCCCCAAAAAAATACAAGTTATAAATTTAAAACAAAGTAAAAAAACACCACCATCCAATACATAAAAGACTGAAAATATTATGCAATATACATATGACATATGTTGTAATATATATGCATTACGTAATGTAATTTAAGACCTGGGGGGAACTGGGTCCATATATATAGGTCACATGCGTATGCAATAAAACAGCAGATAGACGAGGCGTGGGGAATTTGGGGTTGTGTTGTTGTGGGGGCATATACGATGCATATGACTCAGACTCGAAGTTAGATGCTGGGCGTATCTATGAAAGTATAGCTTGGCATGACATGGCATGCAAATGCACTGATATCACTGCTTCTGCATGCATGCCATCTTCCCCCGTAGCCCCATGCAATAAGTTTCATTGTATGTATATAGCTTCAAGTAATTATGGCATATAAAAATAAAACTGTTCCAATTCCTGGAAGTTTTATGAGATGATGATGACGATATAATATGATACAGAAGGGCCCACAGAGAGAAGAGAGAAGAGAGAAGAGAAATTCTCTTGTTCATTTGAGGAACAGGGGCCCACTTGGATCTCAGTGGCATGTTGCTTTTGCAGCAGCTTAGCTCAAGCTGACACATTTTTGCATATACAACACACTAGGAGCAGCAAGCTATGGATAGATATAGAAAACTATGCATCACAGCAGCATTGGAAGAGAAGAGAAGGACCTCTCAATGACCACCCTCTCTTGACTTCTTCCCTACCCTTTTAAATTATTCAATCTCCCAAAAAAAAAATATATATATATATATCATAGTTTATTTATTTATTATTATTACGTACTTTCTGGATCAGCAGTATTGTCGATTTATTTTCTCTGTTCCTTTCTTCTTACTTTGCTGACCAAGAGAATGTTAGAGGGAAGAGACACTTCAATGGCTACCTTATTCTTTTTGTTTATGATCAATTTGGGACCAATTATCTTACTTTTTCTCTTCTTTTGCTTTTCGTTTTTTTGGATTGGATTGCATTGGATTGGAAAGGATAATAATTAATCAATAATGTATTTGGTACTCCACATGATTAAGGGGTCGAACGAACTAAAATATGATATCACATGCTCTAGTATAAGGTTCGATATAATACAATCTAACTTAATTCCAATTAGGTTGTTTTAGTAGGATTAGTAATCCGACCACATTTTGCCCCAATAGAAATAGACACAATCCAATTCAGTTTATTTTTAATTAGGCCACCAAACATTTGACTAGGATTATTAATCATATTCAGCCATATAATCCACCACATATCAAACGGTAAAGTGCAAATCAGAAAAATGTATGAATTTCGGGGTGTAATTCTTAGAGATATTTAGTGATATACCCATTCTTAGCACTAATATTATAGATAAACCCTCCATCATTGAATTTCTATAAACAAACCCAAAAAAAACCCCAAAAATGATAGTTGGCTTTATTGGATTTAATATTGATTATTAAATTACCTTAATGCCCTATTGAGTGCTTTGGGTATTTTTATAAGATTTTGAGGTTGGGCTTGTTTTAAGAAATTTATGGTAGTTTTGTAATTTATAAGAAGTTAAAGCCTCTTTGTTATGTTGTAAATGAATTTTGGGTGTGTTTATAAAGTTCATTTCATATAGGATATTTTTATAATTTAGGCCACCATATTGGGTATATTAGTGAATCTCCCTAATTCTTATTGTCTGAACTTAAGATTGAGGTCGTTTGAGAGATCATTTATGTAAAGTGCAAACGATGGGTCGTCTTTCGAGGTTACGTAAACGACGAATACTGGGCTGGTAACAAGCCACACCGCTGACGCTTGGTCTGCGTAATTTTCATGCCCCCAACCCAATCCCCAAATGAAAAAGAGGTCCATTGTTAGGACCCACCAACAAGCTTTGTTGAAGGCCCAGTTCCAATTTCCAATCAGAAAAACCTAAACCTAACCCAAACCCAAACCCAATCAATCTCTTCACGATGACCCAAACTGTTTGCACTTTGTTGCAGCACCCTTGGGCCCTTTTATTTATTTATTATAATTTAAATGAATTTGGAAATTGGGGGCAGTTTCGTCATAATACAAAGGTTTTATATTTATTTGTTACTCCAAAAATGGCTATTTCCTTGACTTTATTTTTTTGAAACCAAGATAGGAAAGTGAAGAAGTTGCTGGACCTGACCCAACATGCTTTGCTTTGGTCTGTTTTTCTTTGTTCAGAAATACATAGCTTTGCTGTGGTCAAAGCCTCAAAACACAGAGCTACAATTATTAAAGTAAAGTAAACCATTCCCTCTTTAGCCCACAGAAAGAAAAAAGAAAAAACAACCATTTCCGACACTGAGTTGACCCTTTTGGACATCTTTGTAATTTAGGTACAAAATATCTTTCTTGCTCCCATAACTAAATTCCTTGGCCTCTTTCTTCCCCAAACACCCAAAAACAGTATTTTTTTAAAAAAAATTAAAATTAAAATGATCTCAGTGTGATATAAAGCTAACGAAACATATGATATGGTCAGTTTATGGAATCTCCCAAAGTTCTTTTGTGCTGGATATGAACAAAAAGTTTCCACTTTACACTATCCTGGTTTTTTCTGTTAATAAAAGTTGCTTTATTTATATTAGCCTGTGTGCCAGTTGGTTTTTTATCTTTTTATTTTAATTATAACAAGCAATTTTATTAGAACAACTAAAAAAAATACAAAGGGAGTCATCTCAATTAGCAGTATGATGGAAATTGGTAACTTTCTCCAGATATCTGAGTCAGCATAATCTGAAGGGAGTCAATCTAAACAATTACTAGTCTAAAACCCCTATCTACCGCCTTCATTGTTCCAGACTAAGACAATTTTATCAAGAACAAAACAGGCTGTTAATCGGCATGACTCTCCTAGAATTAAGAAAGATAAAATAGGTAGTTGAGTTCCATAAAAATAGGAGCGATTATTTAATTTTTTTCAATATGAAAAAAGTTTGAATTTACTATATTATCCTTATTTAATTAATAATTTTAATCCTTAATATTTGCATTAACTATAAGCATTTTTTGGTATTTTGAATGTTTCACTATATATATATATTTACAATTTCAGACCATATATTCCCATCAACCCAGAGAAAAAAAAACAAAACAAAACTCCAGAACATATGTGCCTTTACAGGACTTTCATTATTAGCAATAACAATATTCTATACCAGAAAAAGTAAACTAAAATAAAATAACAAAATACCAGTTGGGTGATAACATGAGATTGAGTTGCCCTTGCTGTACTTTTTATACCCCAAGTCTTTGTACTTATCTTTCTTGCCCTTAAAATGACACAATGTCTTGAGGTTTTGCACAGTGCATGCATCAAATTATCAACAAGGAATGTTTTGTGAAGATTCAAAAGCTAGCTTGCAATTTTATCTAAAAGCCCATTTTTATTTTACAAGTTTAACTAGATGTGTTGCTAGATTGGCTTGAAGATATCTCTTCTTCAATCATGCTAATTAGACAACAAGATAGACAACAAGATAGACAACAAGGTTGTTGGGAACTTGGAATCTGGGATTTACCCATTTGGATGAGTCTTAGGCTACCATTATTTATACCTAACTATATCCAATATTATAACCCTATTAGCTTCATGATTTTTTTGAGGTCATGAATGTTTTCTTAGTTTAATATGATCAAAGTTTTAGTTAGGCTAGCCACCTAACATGAGATGAGTGTATAGAGAATCTAGAAAGTGTAGAGGAGAATCAAAATGACCAAAGCTTAGGGCTTGTCATTAAAATAAGTAATTATCAAATTTGAGAAAATCTCTTACATTAAAGTAATTAGGTCACCGATTATCAAATATCGTTATCTGGTGTTACTAATTCACCGTGTGGTAACAATAATACTCTCTTGTTTCCTAATTAAGCGATCAATACATATGGTAACTACAAATTACTCTTAGAGCATCTCCAAGGGAGATGTCAAATACCAAACATCAAATTTAAATTTGATGGCTGAGGTGGCAATTTGACATTTACACAGTTTTTTACTCCACCCGATATGTCAAATAAATAATTATTGTAACAGTCAAATCATTTAAGATAAAGAAGAAAAAAAAATAAAAAAGGAAAATAGTAAATGAAAGTTACAACCAGCTGTCTTAAAAAATAATAAAATATTCATTTGACATCTTGCTTTTGGAATGTCAAAAATAACAGCTGAACCTCTAGCCTTCATTCCACATCAGCTTTGACAATTCGGTTGGAGTGATGTGAGATGTTATTTCTAACTATTAAATGTCAATGTGGCACTTTTGACATATCGGTTGGAGATGCTCTTAGTTAGCTTTACAAAATTACAAACGCTGTACTCAACCCAATGAAGTGCAAATATGGCTATAGGAAGGGGTATTTCAGTCATTCCAACTAAAAGCTCTGCAATAACTCAATGGTCTTAGGTTGAAAATTTGACAGGATTTGAGGGCTGATTAAGTAAATTCAGAGGGGAAAACCATTATGATATCTGCAACAGCAGCTCAATCCACCAACAGTCCAACACCATCAGAAAAATTCTTAGTACCCTGAAAAGAAAAAACAAAAGTAAAAAAAGAAGAAATAAGAACACAACAACTACAATATTAAAGCTCAAAAACAAAATAAACATTTTTGGGTTCAAGGTATCTCTATCATCTTTCCCTTTCTTTATTCATTTATTGAATTAACATCAGCTGAAAATTATATATGTGCATTTTTTTTTGTCTCTGTATTTTCCTTTGCAAAAAAGCAGAGGTTCTGCATATGTTCACCCCACATCTTTTCTCTTCCCCCTCTTGCTCTTACTGTACATTCCTTTTTTGTAACAAAAATTTATCAGTTTTCTCTTCTGGATTTGATATGCTTCAGAGCTGAAAAGAAGCAGAATAAGTTTGTTACCTCAGAATCAGACAGTATTATTCAGTCTCGGGTGAGTTATTGCATTCAACAGAATGTCTCAGACCAACTGGGAAGCTGATAAAATGTAAGTTTCTTATGCAGATTGGTCAGTTTATCTCTCTCTTTTTGTCTCTGTTCCCTATCTGGGTTTCTGTTTTCTTCTCATTTGCTGGCCCCCTCTTGTTGTTTCCTGGTCGATTTGGGTTCTGGGTTTTGTTACTTGCTGCAGCCGTTTGGATTCAAGTTTTGTTCTTTATCCTGTTTCCATATATTTATATGTTAATTTCAGTCAGTGTGCGTATTCTAGGGTTTGTTTCTTCTGATGGTTTTGAGTTTGGGCAGTTGTTGATTTTTTGAACTAATTTGCTTCACTTTTTACTGTAGAATTTGGGTTTCTGGACTTAGCCTTGTCTAGTGCATTACTTCTCTTCAAAAGGCTCTCTATAATTCTATTACTCGTACTAATGTTTGGGTTTTTATTAACCAGAATACAGTCTTTAACATCTGTTTCTGATTGACTAACAGGTTAGATGTGTATATCCACGACTATTTAGTAAAGAGAGATTTAAAAGCTTCTGCTCAAGCTTTTCAAGCTGAAGGAAAAGTATCCTCAGATCCTGTTGGTAAGCATCTTCAGAAATGGTGACCTAAGGAGTACAAAAACCTTTGAGTGATCGAAATTATTTTTCTTATCACTATTGAAATGAACTTTTTTTATTTGGTTGCTAAATTTCCATTTTGATTGTTTATGAATGTTTTCGGGAATGGGTTTACAGCTATTGATGCACCAGGAGGTTTCCTATTTGAATGGTGGTCAGTTTTCTGGGATATATTCATTGCTAGGACTAATGAGAAGCATTCAGAGGTTGCTGCATCTTACATTGAGGTTAGTTTGAGAATGCCTTATTGCCTATTAGTTTTGTATATTCTGTAGGCCATATATCATTTACAATGTGAGTTTGAAGAGAAGAATAGGTGAGTTTGGTAATGTGGAAGACTTATTTCATGCTTTATGCGTTCTCCACAAACCATTTTAAATGGAATGAGCTTCTACTCTTATTGGAGTCATATTCTTACTTTGTTCAAGGAACCTACGGTGGAGTAGATTTTGAGAATTTCTAACAGTACTTATAAACAAATCTGGTACCTATTGGAAGCTCATGATATATTGCAAGCGCAGACACAGTTGATTAAAGCACGGGAGCAGCAGCAGCAGCAGCAGCAACAACAACAACAACAACAGCAGCAGCAGCAACAACAACAACAACAGCAACAATCCCAGCAACCCCAACACTCACAACAACAGCAGCAGCAGCAGCAGCAGCAGCAGCAGCACATGCAAATGCAGCAGCTTCTGTTGCACAGGCATGCTCAGCAGCAGCAGCAACAGCAGCAGCAGCAGCAACAACAACAGCAGCAACAACAGCAGCAGCCACAGCAGCAACAGCAACAGCCACAGCCACAACAGAGAAGAGATGGGGTCCATTTCCTCAACGGAACTACAAATGGGCTTGTTGGAAATGATCCTCTCATGCGACAAAATCCTGGAACAGCAAATGCAATGGCCACAAAGATGTATGAGGAAAAATTAAAACTTCCACTTCAGAGAGATTCTTTGGATGATGCATCTATGAAGGTAGGTGAATTATCCTTGTTATTTTGAATACAATGACTTTAACAGTTTTCTAACCGTATTAGGAACAATCTACAGCAGAGATTTGGTGAGAATGTGGGCCAGATTTTGGATCAAAATCATGCTTCAATATTAAAGTCAGCTGCAGCAGCCGGCCAGCCTTCAGGGTGCTTTTCTCTAAGATTTTATATCTTCCACTGTTCTTATTTGTTTGTGAAACGATATGGGCTTGTTTGTACTTATCATTTTATTTTCTATTCTACTAAGTGCACAGAAATTAGGGTTTACAAAAGACATTTTGATATTGTTGATAGTAAATTTGGGATCGCTCCAATATTGTATTTTTAGAATTTACAGTAAAAGTGTGACCCACATATGCCATGGAAACTTGTAGAATGTTATTACATATGTTGTGTCTGCATACTCATTGGTCCAGGGTTTTAGATGTGGAAGCTGTTGCTTAATCCTGCTACCAACATTAAAAATAAAAACAGTGAACTCTTTATTTTTCAGGCAAGTATTGCATGGTACAGCTGGTGGGATGACTCAACAAGTGCAAGCTCGAAATCAGCAATTGCCAGGGTCTACACCGGTATGCTTCGTTTCATTATATATTTTCCTAGTACTTTCTATGTGTTCTGACTTATACATGGAATCAGGACATAAAGACTGAAATCAATCCAGTATTGAATCCCAGAGCTGCATGCCCCGAGGGATCATTAATAGGAATTCCTGGTATTCTCGCCTTGTCCTTTCCAATGTTTGGTTGACTGTGTCTCACTCTTTTGAATACCATTATCACAGAATGGTCCACTGTGCTTGTTGGCTATTTTTATATTTAAGTCTGGCATACTAAAGTAATTTTGGAGTTAGGAGTTGCTAAGAGTTTAAAAGGGTTGTGTTGGTATTGTGTAATTATGCTTGTAGCTTACATGTAAGAGTCTTTTGTTTCAGGATCAAATCAGGGTGGTAACAATTTGACTTTAAAAGGATGGCCCCTCACGGTAAGTTTTTGATGGCTGGATAGATTTTTAGTTTCCTACAATTAGAAAGTTTGTTGTGTGTGTTTGGATAATTTATTTTCTTTAGTTTCCGATCCTGTATTAACACAATGGTAATATATATGTTGAATGCATCAAAGTGACATTCTTTCTGAATTTTGAAACTCGACGTTGTTGTCTATTTCTGAAGTTGAGAATCTCAAAATGACCAAATTCTAGTGTAAATTCAAAATCTTTATTCTTTGTTTGATATGCATCTGTGAAGCTTAGAGTCTCTTCATTAGTACTATACAACTTATTTTTCTCCTTGTTAGGGTTTGGAGCAACTTCGCACTGGGCTTCTTCAGCAACAAAAACCTTTTATACAAGCTCCCCAGCCCTTTCACCAGCTTCAGATGTTGACACCACAACACCAGCAGCAACTTATGCTTGCTCAGCAAAATTTGACATCACCTTCTGTAAGTGATGAAAGTAGAAGACTAAGAATGCTAATGAATAATCGCAGTATGGGTCTTGGGAAGGATGGCCTTCCAAATTCTGTTGGTGATGTGGTTCCAAATGTGGGATCACCTCTTCAAGCTGCTGGGCCTATTATGCCTCGTGGAGATACAGAGATGCTGATTAAGGTGCTCTTATGTCTGTAGATTTCCTTCTGCTTGTAGTTGTAGTCGACATGGTGGTGTTTCCCCCCTTTTTGCTTCCACATGTTATCAAAAAGTTCATTGTCCTTTAGCTTATGAGAGTGCCTGTTTATTTGTAGTTAAAAATGGCTCATTTACACCAGCAACAAAACAGTAATCCACAACAGCAGCAGCAACAGCTTCAGCAGCATATTCTTTCTGCTCAGCAGTCGCAAAGTTCAAATCTCAATCCCCATCAGCAAGATAAAATAGGCGGTGCTGGTAGTATCACTATGGATGGTAGCATCTCGAACTCCTTTCGAGGAAATGATCAGGTCTGTCCTTTTATTGTTTTGGGGAGGGGGCAACTTAATTTATATGTTATATAGAATTCTTGGGAAGGTTCCTGACATAGTTTTGGCAATGCAATTAAGGTTTCGAAAAACCAGGCTGGGAGAAAGAGAAAGCAGCCAGTGTCATCTTCAGGTCCTGCCAATAGCACGGGAACAGCAAACACAGCTGGGCCTTCCCCGAGTTCAGCCCCTTCAACTCCCTCAACGCACACTCCTGGAGATGTAATCTCAATGCCTGCCTTGCCCCATAGTGGTAGCTCCTCCAAGCCTCTGATGATGTTTGGCCCTGATGGTACTGGGACCCTTACATCACCATCAAATCAGTTGGTGAGCGACTTCTTCAACTTCGTGTATTAGAAGGAATTGGCAACTCCTTGCATGTATTCTCATTGGAATTCCATTTTGGCAGTGGGATGATAAAGATCTTGAATTGCAGGCTGATATGGATCGATTTGTAGAGGATGGTTCTCTTGATGATAATGTCGAGTCTTTTTTATCCCATGATGATGTGGACCCTAGAGATGCTGTTGGTCGATGTATGGATGTCAGCAAAGGTGCGATGGATGTCATTTTATTGAATGAATATTTAGTGTAAGATCATCCTGAATATATGCCATAATTTTCTTCATTATTTTGCAATTCTTTTTCAATTTCTCTAATGTTAAGTGGATAAATACATTAATAAATACCAGGGCACTGCAAGTAATAGGTATTGAATCACAAGTCTCAAGCAAATATCTTTTTCTTTTCATTAATTTTTTTCTCACTTGTATTAACTACCATGTGTTTTTGGTAATTGTGCCATCCACAAACTTAGAAACAATGTCAGTACATAATCCCAGCATTATATATATATATATATATATATATATATACCGTCCCTTCTATTGAGGAATCTCTCAAATAAATTATTTGAGGGACACCCTTTAGGGTCCCCTACGAATTTTTTTTCAACGATCCAAACCATCTATTTTTTAAGTCTACATTCACAGATCATCCTTACAAAAAATTTGAGAAATCGAAAACTGTTTCAACATCCAATTGTTTCCTACAAAACCAATGAACACGCTTCAAGAAAGTACTAAAATTTCAATAATTCAATTGAGTGGTCAAATGATATCGGATTCAAGTGATTTTTTGTAGAGATATTTGAATGAATATCTACAAAATAGACGGTTTGGATTAGTAAAATACAATATGGAATGGGCTTTACAAGGGTGTCCCTCAATGGAAGCACTATATATGTTTTTAAATGTGGTTGTGGTGAAGCTACTATCATTTACTTTGAGGGCTCAGAATTTTAATTTTACTTTAGGGTTCACATTTACGGAAGTACACTCTGTTAAAGCAAGCACAAGCAAGGTTACTAGCTGTCACTTCTCGTCTGATGGAAAGTTTCTTGCTAGTGGTGGCCATGATAAAAAGGTGAGTGAATGAATGTCTAATTGCTAAGAACTGCTGTGGGGAGGATTCAATGCTGCTGCAAATTTGATTCTTCCAGAACATAAATGTGAAATTGCTTGTTTAATTTACTTATTAAAAGCAATAAGGTTGTTTTTTTGGGTCTTAGTTTACTTATTGAAAGTCTTCTTGATATATGTATGATGCAGGCTGTATTGTGGTACACAGATACATTAAAGGTAAAATCCACCCTTGAAGAACATTCAGCTTTGATCACTGATGTTCGTTTTAGTCCAAGCATGTCACGTCTTGCAACGTCTTCATTCGACAAAACTGTCAGGGTCTGGGATGCTGACAATGTTAGTGGAAAATTCTTTCGTTCTATTCATCTGCTTAGCTTATACTTTGAAAATAACCTTTTGTTTCAAAAATCGAATACTTTAAGTAATCAGACCAAGTATACTTCTAGATTGATCTCTATCATATATTCCATAATCTTTCCCATGATAAGTTTGTCTTTGTGCTGGGTCATTGCTGGGGTGCCGAAGTGGTGGCTCTATTCTTAAAAGTGATGATTTATCTTTTTGTATCTTTTAACTGTGACATGTAACGGATGTACTGTATTAAAGCATCGTTATGTCTTTAATCTGCAGCCTGGCTATTCTCTCCGTACCTTTATGGGACATTCTGCCTCTGTTATGTCATTAGATTTCCACCCAAATAAAGATGACCTTATCTGCTCCTGCGACTCGGATGGTCAGATACGCTACTGGAGTATTAACAATGGCAGCTGCTCAAGTGTGTTCAAGGTAGAATCTTGTCTATTTGGATGTAGAAGTTCAGTGGGGTGGGGTAATAGTGGTTCTCAGATTATTCGCATTTTTATAAATTGTGATTTGTTTGTACGTATTAGGGTGGTACAGCACAGATGAGATTTCAACCCCGCCATGGAAGATTTCTTGCTGCAGCGGCAGATAATGTTGTATCTATACTGGATGTCGAGACACAGGCTTGTCGGCATTCATTACAGGTCAGTTTAACATTTTGTTTCATCATAATTGTCCGTTTGATAATTGTGAGTTAAACTGATTATGTAATGCTACATTTTAACTTCGGATTCTTTCTTGAGTTCTATATCAACGATGATATTCTTTTTGGTGAATAATAGTGGCATTATTTCCACAGAAAAAAAGGATCCTGCTTGACTCTTATAAACTTTATTTCTTTTTTAGGTTACATTGGAAGGGATCAGACCCTTGACCTATCCTAATCTTAACCCTAACCCATATACCTACACTCCCTCACCACTTAGCTAACCTAAAGGGCTTAGTCTGATAATCATTATTGTGGTCTCGTTGCAAGTATCTGGATGGTTTAGGTGCTTGTTTCACTGGGAAACGGTGATGTTTGTAGGATTAAATATTTCGTTGAATTTCTACTAACATATTTATCTGTTGTCTTTTGGCACTTATGATGCAATTTGATGTTCCTATACACATTCTTGAACTATTTACTTCTGTTATCCTAATCTTTTCATGTAGATTCTCACTTGTGTTACTTGAAATTTGGTTTTGAATGCAGGGGCATACTAAGCCTGTCCATTCTGTGTGCTGGGATCCATCTGGCGAGTTCCTTGCATCTGTCAGTGAGGACTCTGTAAGAGTTTGGACACTCGGATCAGGGGGTGAAGGGGAATGTGTTCATGAGTTGAGCTGCAATGGAAGTAAATTTCATTCATGTGTTTTCCATCCGACGTATACTTCCCTGCTGGTCATTGGCTGTTATCAGGTAAGTCAATTCTGCATTATTGCGCTCAAGTAATGTTTGTTACATTTTTGGTCAGAGACCACCATTCTCTTAAGCTGTTAGGATGTTTGTTCCTATTTTACCTGTTTCACTGCCATAGAAACGATTCTTTACTGAATGTTGCTGCAAAATATCACATTTGATTATTATCTTGGAAAATAATTGCAGTCATTGGAGTTATGGAACATGACAGAGAACAAGACAATGACTCTATCAGCACATGATGGACTTATTGCTGCTTTGGCTATGTCAACTGTTACGGGTTTGGTTGCTTCGGCTAGTCACGATAGGTTTGTCAAGCTCTGGAAGTGAAATGATTGTTACTCTGCTTAACTGTACTTCACAAAATAGGAATAGGTTTCTACCAGTCTTGGTCCAATGCTTTGTAGTTTGTCTGTTGGTTGCTCGATTGATCGTCGTCTTTTGCTTTTTTGGATTTCGAACTTCGGCTCCATATGACCCGCAGAAACTGACCTTGTAATATTATTGTTGTATTTGTCTACCTGTTACTGTAATAGTAAACCTGGAGATCTGTCATGCTTCAAGGAACTCTTGTAACGCTTTTCAAACAGTAAAATATAATTTTTATGATTCCTTTCTCATTTTGTTTCATTTTGGTTCAATGCAAACTATATAATTCCAAGCTCCCGAATCTCTTTGAGATGATAATTGTTCTCTCATCAATGTCCATTTTGTCAGTTTAAATGGGTTCCTGTGCCTTCTCTGTGCAAACTGTGTCGAAGTTTATCTGTACGTATGAAATTTTACACTTAAGAGAGGTCATTAATAAAATTGTAGATGATTGCTTTTCGTTGCCGCCTAAAACTAAGCAAATGAAAGGCCAACCACTAAAGAAATTTGTTTTCAGATCCTGTGCTTCATATGTCCGTTACTTCAATTAGGTACTGCCACAGAGGGATCCCTGGCGGAGCATGAGGTTTTGACAGCCTGGGAAGGGAGAGATCGTTGTGTGCCGGTAATATCACATGGCATCTTGAGAGACTCCAACGCAAATTATTTGTGTGATGCGTTGCTTAAAGCCTGAATGTCAAAGGTCTGTGGATAAAAGAATATCCAATGGCCAAGGGAACCATGCCCGTCTAACGACAAGTAAATCAAGTTTGGCTGATATCTTATGTAAAAAATCTACTTGGCCAAACAAAATTTATTTTCCTATGTTCATCTATTCTAAATTTTTACATGTTTGCGTAAGGTGATACAGATATATATGTTTTTTTAGTTAACATCGTATTATGTAAGCTTGTAGTGTTGGATTTTCCGGCCCTCTCCCTTTCATGTTTAAAGTTAAATATTAAGATGGCTTCTGGCCATTGATTCCAGTTAGAGAGGCTTGTGAAAATTATGGATGTTTTGAAATAGTGTATGATAAGATATCTCTGCAGTTAAGAGCAGAGGCCTAATCACTGATAAGGCAACTTTTCAGCCTTCCACTGGAAACAAAGAAGAATGTTAATCCAAAGCCTTTCCATGGTTACTGTGGAGAGTATCCACATGTTCCCTTGTATGAGAGCCTTGGCCCTGAAGATGCCTCCAACTTTGAAGCTGTTAGAGAATTCACAGAACTACTCTTGCCTAATGGCCATGACCACTTTTGGTAATAATTTTTATTTATTTTTAGCTTATTTTGAGCCTGTTTAATTCAACCTATATATAACATGGTTTTATATATGCATACCCCATTACATTTTATCCTCATGTTTATTGCCGAAGCACTTGTTGATGTTGTTCTGTTTCCAACAGCAACACTATACTTACTATGATGAGGCAGCTGGATGAGCCGAAGGACATGATTGAAATGATGATTCTTGATAGTTATGGTTTGGGAGAGAAATCAGATTCGATCGTACCGTGCAAGACGGGCGGCTATGGTCTGGAATAGCCGTACTGGGTGTTCTCCAATTGTTTTAAAAAGAAATAGTATCGCCGCGCGGCTATATTCGTTTTTAATATTTTAAAAAGAAATCGTATAGCCGACCGGCTATGCTCTGTTTTTAATTTGTTTTAGAGAAACAGTATAGCTATAGTGGTATTTTTCCAATTTTTTAAAAAGAAATAGTATAGCCGGCGGCTATACTCGTTTTTTTTTTTTTTTTTTTTTTTTTATTTTCCAAAAAAATTAGTATAGATGGGTTTTAGTAGGCTATACCCTTTTTTATTTTTTTTTAAAAGAAATAGTGGCTATACTCAGTTTTTTCGTAATAAAAAAATTTAGTATTGAGGCTCGGCTTTACTCGGCTCTTTTTTATAAAAATCTCTTTTTAATAAATAGTATAGCCGACTGGCTATACTGGGTTCTTTATAAAGCCGGCCGGCTATACGCTTTTTTATTTGTTTAAAAAATAGTAAAGCCGGTCGGCTATACGCGGTTTTGTATTTTTTAAAAGAGACAGTATAGCCGCACGGTAATACTCGGTTTTTAGAATTTTTTAAAATAGAAACAGTATAGCCGGGCGGCGATACTCGGTTTTTTTCCATTTTTTTTAAGAACGAGTATAGCTGCCTGGCCATACTATTTATTTTAAAAAAAGAGCCGAGTTAAACCACGCTGCAATACTATTTTTAAATCATTTTCACTTCAGCTTCAGCAGCTGGTCAGTATTAAATAAAAGGTTTTTTAGGTTTTAGACATAAAAAAAATTTCACTTTTGGAAAAAGCCAAAGCTTTTTCAAAAAAGACAAAAAAACCGCTCAACTTTCAAATCAAAGACATACAAATGTATTGGATTCCTTAGGAAATCTAAAAATAAATAAGGGCATTTTTGTCCATTTTTGCTTCTTTTAAAATTTTTCTCTCTCCTTTTGCTTTTTCTAAAATGTCCCATTAATAAACCCTCTAACAAAAGACATCAGAAAATACACAGGGCCAGTGGTGGTGGCCTTGATAAAAGGATATAATAAACGGATATTTTCTTTGTTTTGTTTTGCTTTATTTTCTTCTCTTGTTTGGAATTTCGTTAGAGTCCCATATGGCTGGGAAGGGGGACTAAACCTTATGACTTGGTTCCCATTTCACCTGTTTCACTGCCAGAAAGGGATCCTAGACTAACAGTTATGTTCTTGCTGCACCGGTTTCATGCTTGATTTTTAACTGGGGACAATAACTGTAGGTTTTGTAGCTATGGAACATTCCCGAGATGAAGACAATGCTTCTACCAATACATGAAGAATGTGTTGCTTCTTTGGCTGTGTCACCTGTTACAGGTGTGGTTGCTTCAGCTAGTTATGATAAGATTGTCAAGCTCTTGAAGTGAAGGAATGGTTGTTTCTCTTTTTAGATGAACATTGATTGACCATATAATACTATTTTTGTTGTATTCTATGTTCAGGCTTCATGGACCTGTTGTAACTCTTCAAAGAGCTCTATAGAAATTTTATGCTTCAATTGTCATTCGGTTTCAAAGTTGTTCAAGGCGTATAATTCCAAGCTGGCGATTCTTCTTCAGATGATAATATGCAGTTTCAATGGAGGACAAGAAAAGGAATGTAATGTTAAACTTGAGAATTATAAAATATGGTTAATTTGGAGCCTCTAGTTCAAATTTCTCTGTCATTGATTGAACCAGATAGTGGCGGAGCAAGAGTTTCGATCATCGAAGGCAGGACGGCCTTCAGTTCCTTCCGTTGATTCATGTTCTTTATAATGCATGCTTTTCATAGAGCCTGAATATCAATGACTACACAATTTGTCAATACAAAAAGTATACAATGGTTAATGGAGCCATGCCTATTTTTGTTAAGTGAATGGTGAAGACAACGAAGGGGTAATAAAAAGTATCTACTTGAAAATATTAGTTTATGTTGAAACACGACATGGCCGGACATGATTCTAATATGTTTGGTAGCAAACAAACGAACTATCTATTGATCTGCAATTTCTCAGATGTTTATGTAAGGTGATGGATACAGTTGGTTGTTTAGTTAACGTTGTATTATGTAAGCTTCTAGTGTTCTTGAATTTTCTGGACAGCTCTTATGTCCAATTGCTGGCCTCTGATTGGTCTTTGATTCTAGTTGGGATTTATTTTAGATCAATTAGAAAGTTGGTATTTGTCTGTATATCATTGTCACTAGAAGAACCATGTGCAATATAAATAAAATCCTCCAACAAAGAAGCAATTCACCAAAGCACAACTAGAATTAAGAAACAGTACTCGGCTTTCAGGACAGTTTGTGCAAGAGGGTTAGAGAGGCTTCTGAAAATTAGGGATGTTTTGAAATAGTGTATGATAAGATACCTCTGCAGTAAAGAGCAGAGGCCTTCTCACTGATAAGGCAACTTTTCAGCCTTCCACTGGAAACAAAGAAGAAGAATGTTAATCCAAAGCCTTTCCATGGTTACTGTGGAGAGTATCCACGTGTTCCCTTGTATGAGAGCCTTGGCCTTGAAGATGCCTCCAACTTTGAAGCTGTTAGAGAATTCACAGAACTACTCTGGCCTAATGGCCATGACCTCTTTTGGTAATAATTTTTATTTATTTTGAGCCTATTTTGAGCCTGTTTAATTCAACCTATATATAACGTGGTTCTATATATGCATACCCCATTACATTTTATCCTCATATTTATTGCTGAAGCACTTGTTGATGTTGTTCTGTTTCCAACAGCAACACTATACTTACTATGATGAGGCAGCTGGATGAGCTGAAGGACATGATTGAAATGATGATTCTTGATAGTTATGGCTTGGGAGAGAAATCAGATTCGATTGTACCGTGCAAGACGCTGCTACGGGTAATGAAGGTGCTCACACTGACAAACTATTGAGCGCCATCCTTTGTGAGGATCAAGTTTCAGGGATTGAATTTGAAACCAAGGATGGACAATGGGTCAAATTGTCTCTATCTCCTAGCTTCTTTCTCTTTATTGTTGGAGATCCTCTTATGGTACAAATTATTAGTAAACTACTTTATAACTGAAATACAATTAGACCATGTGACCTAATTAAATTGTGCAGCAAATATGCGACTTGGTAACACCTTCTGAGAGGGCTGAAATTTTCCCTTGCCTTAAATTGATGATTTAAAATTAAACAAAGGTTAAAAATCACTAATGATAACTTGTGGTCATTGGAACATTGACTTGCAGGCATGGAGTAATGGAAGAATGCATCCTGTGAAGCATCGAGTGATGATGCGCGGAGAGAAAGAACGAATTTCGTTAGGAATATTTCCAGTTCCAACAGAGGGTACCATCATCAAGCCACCAAAGGAGCTAATAGATGAAGAACATCCCCAAATTTTTAAAGAGTTTGACTTCATGGAATTTTTTAAGTTCTTTTCTTCAGAGGAAGGAGTGCCCATTGACTCAGCAAAGCAAATTTTTGCATTTGCTGGAATTTGCACTTGAGGACACTCTCAGGCTCTTTGCAGGTTGGCATCTGCAATTTGTTTTTAGCAGCCGTGCAGAATTGAAATTTGATAAATTCAGAAAACAAAGTGGTTCTTGTTTGTTGGTTTTGAAATAGACCCATTAATGTACAAAGCGTATTTAAGCAGCTCTCTTAGCCACCAACTTTTGAAATCAAAAGTTTTAAGGCAGGTGTGCGAAGGATACTAACAAAGTGACACAAAAATGGATAGCTCTAGGTAGTCTCAAAAGATAGTTCAAATTTGAAGAGATTCAACCAAAGTGAGATATATAGTTCAAATGGGATTCTGCGTAGCTTGGTCCACAGAAGCCATCGAGTTGCTTCAAAGAGAAAGGATTAAGAAAACGAAAGAAGAAGAAGAAAAAGAATCTTTTGCTCCACAGAGAAAACACTTAATATTTTCGTCTACTTTCTTTTAGCCTCCTTTTCTCTTACATTCATGTCAAAGATTCTTTCATAAAGGCCAACGGGTCTAGCCCATTGGAAAATGATCTTAACTTGTAGGAACAGCTTTCTGCTTTTCAAACCTGTACTTATCAATACAATCAATATAAATACACAGCTGCAGCCATATTGGTTGGGTAAGCTTTTCACGCTATTTCAAAGTCTTACAGTCTTAAGTTCGAACCCTCATGACACTTTGGTTGTGTATAAAACCTTCATCCCCTTATAGTTTAGACTATCCCTTGTATTCAAAAAAGATTCCTTCATAATGTGGTGAAGTTTTTGACCCATTTGAGTGTACCTTGGTAGGAAGGGCAAAGGGTTCTAAATGTTGGTGCAACCCTACCAAGTCTATGAGTCTGGGACACCAATGAACATGGTCCATGGTCCATACCCTACTTAAATCTTCCACCATTTTTATTAGGACCTAATTGTGAAAGGTCTAATAAAGCAAGAAAAGATTGCGCGCTGTGTTTCTTGGACCACTTATATATAAAGCCATACTGTACGATTACCCAGAAGACATAATAAAATGCACAGAATATTTTCGTATTGCACATGTTTAATGGTTTGGCAACCAAAAGTGACTATTAATCTTTACCTCTGACTCTGTTTCAGCAACAACTATGACAATGGCTTGGTCCATAATTGTCCATGGACTACAGTAATGTGAAACTCATTTCCATTGGTGTGGGCTTCACAAAAATCTGTTTTTAACAAAAAAATGATGTAATTCGTACATATGGTATGAATGGTGGGTAAAGCATTGCCAAGTATAAACATCAGGCATATACCTACCATGTTACCAATCGAATCAAAGGCATGTGATTGTGACATTAGATGACCCCTTAACAACTAGGGATCCATTTTAATTCACCAACTTAAGGGTTTTATTAGCCAAAAAGATAAAAGAAAGATTTTGAAGAATAAGATACCTTAATCCATCTAGAAGCTAATTAATTTCGTTTGAGACCATAATTTTAAGTAAGTCCTTTTTTTTTTTTTTTTTTTTTTTTTTTTTTTTTTGTTGAGAAATTAAAAAATTCATTAGTCACAAAAGACAATTACAATAACAGAGTGATTTAACATCAGAATTATGGGGCTTCTCCACTAATGATCACGTAGGATCAAAGAAACTCCGGCATAGGCATGCCAACTAAAATTGCAAACTTAGAACCACTAAAAAGAGATAAAGCTTGGGAAATCCAAGTCACAACAATACAAATAAAACTCTCGCAGAAGAGAGGTGAAAAATTCTCACAAAAGAATATGTAAAAACTACATAGAAAATTCAAAGAGTTTCTGCGACTTATTCCAAATTTGAAGAAATACAAAAAGAATGGTGATAGAAATCCGACATCGAAACGCAAGTAGAGATCCAACACCAAGACGTATTCTTCTATAATGAGTAGAGGAAACTTATAATAAACTGAAGATAAATAGGGTAGTGAGTTCAAGAGCCCATGGTTGTTGGACCGACTCGCAAGTCAATTAATAATTATATATGTATATATATGTGTATGTCAATAGCATCACAAATTCACAAATAGAGCAATTTATGTAACATATACTGTGCCATGTGTAGCTTGCCGACTTGTCGAATGTCGAGTCAAGCACAAAGGGTTTGTTCTTGGTGCATGTCTCATCAGCTGAATTTATTTTTTGTAATTTGTGGGATACAACTGTTGCACATCTTGTTCAATCTACTCACATATCATTTTCCAACCAGTACATTACATTATGCTCCCTAATCGTTTTCAATATTGCCAACGGAATATAAATGACAGAAAGAAGAAAAAGGAAAAAAAAGGAACCACACCATAAATGTCAACTTAATTAATACAGAAACACAAAGCATTGATTGATTTATAAATTAGGTTTTTATTTTATTTTCATGAATAATAATTGAGAGGGATCCTTAAATTATAGGGTTTATATTGAATTTGGACAAATTATTTGGGTACCCCTCCCTCACCCCATATCTTTATTAGAGGAGCTGCACACCATGCACCCATGTGGGCACGAAAGTCTTCTCTTCAACTCACAGAGCTGTGGGTATTTAAGATCATCTGACTAAAAGAAACTTGAACCATCGATCTTTGGTATTTGTTTGTTAAAACTTTGTGAAGGTATTTTTTTTTTCTTCTCCATATCTACTTTTGTTACTTGTTAAGTTTGTTACAAACTATATGCATTTTTGCTTTCAGCTAGATAATCTATCCTTCTTGGTTTCGTAGAGATCACTATGAATCATAATTCGCTAATAATATATCAAAACTATATGAATTTGTAAATCATTTTGGTTGCCATGGTCCTAAATTTAGACATGATTTACATTTTAGTCATCGAATTTGCAAAATAGTTGATTTAGTCTCTAAACTCCACTTCCGTTAGCGTGTCGGTCATAAGTTATAGTTGGGTTTTAAGGTTTTGAAAAAAAATTTGGGGTGAACTTAGATGTTTGATGGGTGTAAATAATAAAAAATTCAAAGAAGGTAACGCGGTCTTGTATTCTTGTTCTTTGTTTTCGTGGTGATGGAAATGGTGGATTTTGGTACAAAGTGGAGGTAGGAGTGGTGCTGGTGTGAGTGATGGGGTTGGATTTGAAGTAACAATTTTACCCCTAAATTTAATAGAAAATTTAACAAATATGACGGTAGGAAACGAAAGTGAAGTTGAAGGACTACATAAACCATTTTATGAATTCGAGGACCAAAATGCAAATCGGGTCTAAATTTAGGGATTATGACAACTAAAAAGTCTATATAAATAGTTGTTTTATTTGTTAATTAGCAAAACATTTTGATTAAACAAATTTTGCTTACAAGTAGCCTTCCTCTTATATTAATAAGTTATAGTTTGGCAACATTTTAGAGCAAAGAATGATATATATCTAAATGAGAGATATTAGCTAATGACACATTATATGATAAGTGATGTATATATTACTTATAGGAGTGATGACATGTCATTGTGACATAAGATCTACATCCAAGCAAAGAAATAAAAAGGGTAGAAAAATAAGTGGGTGCCCAAATAACCAGCTAAACGGGTAGGACACAATTAATCTTTAAGACTTTTTTTTTTTTTGGTTGGGGGCTTACCCTGTGGAACCATTAGCCATAGCTTCCTATATATTGAGTGAGGGTCGTTCTTCCCCTTAAATTTCTAAGAAACGAGTTGGAGAGTAGGAGACAGACAAGGAGAGAGAAAGATAGAGATGGGAGAGGAAGCTCATGCTGATCAAGTACTTCCAATTCTTGATTTTTCAGAGGGTTTAGTTTTAAAACAAGGGACTGAGGAATGGAAAGCTATGAACAACAAAGTTAGAGAGGCATGTGAGAATTATGGTTGCTTTCTTTTGTTAGTGAAGGATGAGATCCCCATGAATTTACGTGAAGAAATGGTGGCGGCCATGAAAGCTTTGTTTGATCTGCCTGAAGAGACCAAGCAGAAGCACACAAGCCCCAAGCCTTACCAAAGCTATGAAGGGAAGAGCCCTGTCATTCCCTTGAATGAAAGCTTTGGCATCGACAATGCCTGCGAGCTCGATGCAGCTGAAGCCTTCACCAACCTCATGTGGCCACAAGGCAAGCCTTCTTTTTGGTGAGATATTCTTGCTTTCTAATTAAGCTTTGGAAAATAAACATGTTGGTTTAGCTTTGATCACATATATATTTACATGCTTCATCACCCAAATATATATATCCAGTTGTTTGAATAAAATTCTATCGCTTGTTGTAAAAATAAAAAAAACCACAAGGCCAAATTTAATTTTGGTTTTTATTTTTATTTTTCATAAAAAAGCAAGAACTGTTGTTCTCAGTCTGAGATATCCCACTGTAGGAGTCTAAGACAAACCAAGAGTTGCTAAGAATAAAATTGCTCTTTTGCTATCACCCCTCAAACATTTTTCTCATGTCATATATTACCTTTCAACTTATTGATTTCGAAAGTTGGATTCGAAGAGGGTGGGGAGTTAATTATAAATACATAGTTTTGCAGCTAAACAGAAGATTAATCACTATCTGTTTAGACAAGATTAGGAAAGAATTTTGGTTAAGGTCACTAGATGATTGAGAATCTTTCCTTAAATTGGACACTTTCAAACCAAGCAACGGCATTTTGATGACATAAAAACTCCATATTTTTGACATGACAATGGCTGCTACCCAACACCCTCGCTACCTGCCAATGCCTCATTTAATAAGGCTTATCCCTTGAAACAGATTGAATTAAAGGAGTGCCAGCTTTTTATGATTGTTATATAGTTCTGGCTATATCATGCCTGCGCACATGTCCTTGTAGAACTCCATCACAGGGCAAGATAATCAGTTTCTTATGCAGATGTAACTGCCTCATTTAAAACTCAATTGCACTTTCTTGGATTATGTACAATAGTCAACAATAACTTCAACTCCATATATCCCATCACAAGAGTACATATATAATGATAACGGGTAGGTGCATATATTCATGAGCTCCATGAGGAGAAAATTTTGAATGGGGAATTTCTCTCACGTGACAGGTATTGTTTAGTTAAAACGTAATATGTGTTATAAAATTTGAATTATAATTAAAAATTTATAACATATGATATGTTTGAACGAAACAAATCAACCTGCAACGTGGCAGGAAAGTCCCTATCCTAGTTTTTTCCTCTTGACAACCCCGTGACTTACGTGGAATTGAAATTCCAAGATTATTGAATTGTTATATATGCTAGTGATAATGGTTAACTTGTACTGTTACATTTTCCTGGTACATGACTATATATGTTTTGTTATTGTAGTGAGGCTATGAAATCCATGACTTCAAAGATGATGGAATTGAATCTCATCATCCTTAGGATGATTTTGGAGAGCTTTGGCTTGGGAGACCACTATGAATCCCATGCCCAAAACACCACCAGTGCTTTTCGTTTCATGAAGTATAAAGCTCCTCCTCCAAGCAACATTAACAATGCCCTTGGTCTTCTGCCTCACACTGACAAAAACACCCTAACCATTCTGTGCCAAAACGATGTGCAAGGCCTAGAGATTCTGAACAAACAAGGCAAATGGGTGGAGGTGATGGTCCCGAAAGAAGCTGTTATGGTGTTTGTTGGGGATGCACTTAAAGCCTGGAGCAATGGGAGGCTTCATGCAGTGACACATAGGGTTATGATGAGTGGGGACAAAGAGAGGTACTCGTATGCCCTATTTTCTTTGCCTAAAGAGGAGGTGGTAATTGAAGTACCTCAGGAATTTATAGACAAAGAGCACCCTTTGCTATACAAGCCATTCAACTTTGCTGAATACTTCACATACTTCACGTCCAATATTGGTGAGGATGCACTTGAATTATATGCTGGAGTTTGATATATAATTATCCATCGGGGATGTGTTTTGTAATAAGTTTGCTTTATTATATATGTGTGGTGCGTTTTACTTTCATTAAAGACAAATAATTTTAGTGTGTGGTTGGTATGGAATTTAGACATTATATGTGTAGAAGTATCTTGCATCTTTTCCACTTAAATATATTTGGTTTAATTATGGGTTGGATCATTGATATACAGTACAAGTTATTTTCATCTTTTGATAAGCGATAGTGAAAAAGGGGAAAATCGAACTTAGAACCTCATGTGCACAGATAAATGCTCTTAACCTATTGAAATAGGGCATTCATTGACAATGCACATAATAAATTAGTCTGGGTAGTAGCTTGCATTCTTGCAATCCTGTGGGCAAAGGCGGAGACAAGAGGTTGTTTTATTTATTTTTTAATACATTAGAAGAAGAGATTCGAGAGTAGTATATGTTCTAATATCATAAAGAGAAATACTGTTACATTCTTCTCGAACATGGAAAGAGGTAGTGCTAGAGACATGGAAAGGATCTAGAGATGAGGGCTGAAGATGGGGAGCTAATAAGGGTGGGTTTGGGATCATTTGCGCTCTAAAATAAAATACCCAGCAGATGAAAACCTTTATTAAAAAAATAAATTTAAAAAAAAAACTTTATTGCCCATCCCGATCTACAGCTCATGAGGCAAGTCAACCTTTTGTGAGAGTGCAATGGAAATAACACATGAAACGAGAAATAAAATATATATAAAGGATTTCCATTGTTGATCTATAAAGCCACATAAGAAAGGACGCTTATAGTGAAAGTATCTATATAATCAAGTTACAAAATCTAGGGCAATCATGATCTGCACAATGAGTGACATGTGTGATGAAAGACCTTCATTTAGTTAATCCATAAAAGATAATAATTAATCAAAGACATTCATAGTTAAATATAATTAATACTTACTTGGGTTGTAATATATGCCATGTGAATGTTATGAAAAATAAAATAAAAAACAATAAACTTGGGTTATATGATTAATTTGGCTCTACTAGTTGCTAATCATGGAGGTCTGCATGTGAATGTATATGATATGTGATGTGCACATTGACCTCAAACCCCACCCCAAGCCACGATTTAAGGCAATGATATAAACTAATTAAGCAAATTTGAACTTTAAGTAGAAGCCCTTTTTTAACTTTAAGTAGAAGCCATTTTTTAATATATATATATATATATATATTTTATGTTATGGAACATAATATACAATCCATTTCTATTGAGGGATCCTTCAACTAAAACTTTATATATATAAAATATAGAGAGACATCCTTGTAGAACCCATTTCGTATTGTATTTCACTAATCCAAACAGTCTATTTTGTATATATTCATTCAAAAATCATTTATACAAAAAATTACTTGAATCCGATATCATTGAATCACTTAATTAAATTATTGAAATTTAAGTACTTTTTTTAATTATCGTGTTCATTGATTTTGTTGATTTCAATTAGATGACTTAATAATTTTCAATTTGCATAATTTTTTACAATATGATCTCTAAATAAAAATGTGAAAAATTAATAATTTGGATCGTTGAAAAAAGACTGTATATATAGATCATGCATCATCGTGTTTTGTACTTTGAACTCTTATAGCTAGGCTAGCCTGTATTATTTGCTCAAGTTGTTTGCCCTCATGCATTGCTTAGTCGTAAATCATGATGACAAGATCAGATTAGATTTACCCTTAATTGCCTCATTACATTACATTTGTACACGTACTCCATCAAATGTGGGCGTGGTTTGTGCGGTATTTGCTGTTTCTTCTTGTCTTATTTGGTCAACCAAAGCTTTCATTAGGCCAGCCAGATATCATGGTTTTGCCCCCCAATCCACAAACACAGGGTTTTTTTCATTTTCATTTTTTCTTTGGTTTAGATGACTTAAACGATGAAAGTCCAAGTTTAGCTCATGCATGCCTGGCACCTTTGCCCTCAAATATTGAGAATTCAATTGCTTTGACTTGGAGTTATTAAGACTTCATTTTCCCTCTCTACTCGTTTTTGAACCAAACTCAACTTAAGGAGGAAACCCCTCTAATTACATGAGAATTCATCACATTAATAAGGGGAAAAAGAATTGTTTATCTTCTTATTGTTCATGAGTCATGTTCAAAGATCGTATCATTATGAGATTTGAATCAAAGGGGCTTTAGGTTCAGACCATAAACTTGCTAACATGTTTCATGTTTTTTTTGGTACCTAACGGGCCCAATCAAAATTCCAACTGAGTTTTGTGTTTGCTACCCACCCTTTTTGTTTGGGAGGACCTACTAATCCGAGGGTAGGGGTTGTACTTTGTGAGATTTCACCGTAGTGAACATCTCAAGAGCACCTGACTAACAAGACTTAGCCTAAATGATCAATCACTTTAATATCATTCTTAGGGCTCGTTTGAGAGTGATTATAGAGAATCACCTCCTCACTAAAATTGATTTTTTGGAGAAGCACGTGGAATGTGCTTCTTCCCAAAAATGATTATGGTCTATTCATAATCACTCCCAAACGAGCCCTTAGAAGCTCACGCTACTAAGCCAATGTTAATTTGTTTCCTGTTGAAAACTAATTATCTCGTCTTCATAGTTTCGTGACCAAACATAGTTGACTGAATCCTAATTTAAAAAATATATATTAACCTCAAATGAGAAGGAAAAAAAAACCAATGTAAAAAGAAATTTTGCAGGCTGAAAACAACAAATCCCATTTGCAGGCCGATGTTACCATGCAATCTTTATCCAATACTTTACAATCTCTTAAGCTCAAAGCCCAAATGTAATGCACTCGAGAACACCAGAAGCCCAATTTCTCGAGCCCACGAAATGCCTCGTCGTTTAGAGGGAAAAAGAAAAAAGAAAAAAAGGTTCGTTAAGCGGCCTGGTTCATCGCCGTCCTCAACCGTCAACTCCCCTCACTCACTCATCCCCAATCCGATATTGTTCGCAACGAAGCCCGACCAATTACAAAACGCCGTCGTTTTATAAACTGTTATGTTTTTACAGTGAAACTTAACAATTCGTAAGATCAACGATGTCAGAAGACAATCTGAATGAATTGGTCAGTAAAATATTGACCGTTTGTAGCAAAAATGGAGTCTTTTGATTTTCTAGGCGAAGAAAAAGTTGTTGTTTTTATTAATAATGTGGGTTTTCATTTTTTATTTCAGATTGAGAGGAAAGCGAATGTTACGAATGAATTGCAGAGTTTAAGAGAGAAAATCGATAAGGAAGGAGCTAAAGCTGCGGTGCACAAGTTGATATCGCTGAGGCAGGCATTGAAGGTTCGCTAGTTTCCTTGTGATTCTGTTTATACCCGAAGCGTCGTCGTCTTTTGTTGACGGGTATTGATTGAAATTTGATTCTGTTTTTACAGGAGCTGGAAAGGCAAGAGCTTGAAATCCAGTCTTCTAGTAATTCTGAATTGGATGCTGAGGTTCGTAGATTGGAGGACCAAATAGCAAATGGGTATGATGGCCAGACTGTCTCTGATGAATTGGATCGTCCGTTGAGTGAATCAGTGGAGAAAATTGATTCAGCTAAAAGGGTAATTTGCTGTTGCTCACAACATTATGATTATTTTCTGCAACATGGTGTTGCTAGAATTTTTTTATTTTTTATTTGGTGATGAAAACAGTAATATGTGTAGGAACTTGCAGCTAGATCAAGGGCAGTGCTGGCAGTGCAGCGCCAGATTGATGATGTTCCATCTCAATCAGAACTCATCCAGTATGTCTTCCTTTTTTTCTCTGTTTATAAATTGTGGGCTTGTTTAGGACTTAGATTCTAGATGGTTGCTAACGAAAACCAGTTTGAAGGATTTAGATGAGTTGGGTAGACTTCAAATGCAACTTAAAGTATGAGATTTGAAGTTTGGGGCATTTTTTATGTATGGTCTTTGATTATTTTTTCTGCGTTTATGATAGAAAAAGAAAAAACACCGACTGTCTCAACCTTGGCTCTGCAGGTATGAACGGCGGTTTTCAGAATTGAATGCTCAAATTCAGGGAAAACTTCAACAAACTCGTAAATTCTATGCCACATATAATGCACTTTTGGAGATAAAAGATTGATGCTAAAGGAAACATCTTTATTGAATTCAATAAATTCACAGGTAATCTGCTGTAAATTTCGCCATCAATATCCTCTTATGGGATGCTACTATTTTTCTTTTTCTTCATTTCTCTGCAATAATTTAATTTTATGCAGGATGTTTTTCACTTGTTTCTGCTATTATTATATTGTCATTATTACCAACTTATTTTGCTTGTAAACTTTGTATAGTTTCAAGATGCAATCACTAGCACTGATGGTCGCATGAAACTTATTAACTCCATGGAGGGAATCATAAAGGGCAGTCAACAGGTAATGCCCAAATGTCATCAAATTGTCTGCATATATTCTGTTGGGATCAGGAAAAGAAAACCCCAACTCTGCCTTGAAACTGTTGTGCAATCCTAGTAAAGAAGAAACTTAGTTCCTCAATCTTGGAATGTATGCTTTAGTTGATTCTAAAGGGCTTTTACTCCCTCATACAACTTTATTTATGTGTCCACAGAGATCCATGGTTCTAGTCTAGTAGGATGGTTCCCCTCAAAGAGAACCAAACGACTTGCGCTGCTTTGATTTTCCTTTAGAAAATGGAAAGTTTTGCCCCTTTACCTTCCTTGTAAATCATTTTCTGGCATCTAGTCAGATAGCCTTTTGATCCGTATGACCTTACAAGGACTTGAATTAATGGCCTTTAAACTCCTTGAATGGGAGAAGCAGTTAGAGTTCTAACTAGTGTGGATTTATACACATAGCTTTGGAGGGGAACTAACTTACTGCCTTGCGGCAACCTGGTGAACCCAGTTGCCCTGTTGCCAATCATCACTGTTGATAATGAATCTTTAGCAGTGTAGTTCACTGAATAGTATCAGGGACATCATAGTAGATTTTATACAACTTGGGCACTTCAAAATTTGGTAAGCTTCCAGACAAAAACATGAGATAGTTATAGGTATTGATATGTCATCCCTAGTGTAGGATAAGGGTTGAAACCAAACAGATGCATCCACTAAGTGAAGAGAGAAATAAAATATAATTCGTGTGCTAAAAATACCACCTGTAACTGTAACAGGCCAAACCCCGTATTGAGTTATTTGAGATACAAATAAGATAAAACTAATATAATTCAACCGAGTTCTGTGTCCAGCATATTGAGGAGTAAATGAATCTAGTATGTGCTTACACATTCGCGCCCAACAATTGTATATCCCAGTATTGTCTGCTACTTCAATCAAACTCAACTTAAACTTCCACATGACTGAGTATTTGATTTGCCTCATTAGCCTCAACTCGTTTTCAACTTGTGTACATACTTTTTCACAAATGCTTCTAGTTATTCCTAAATTTTACTGCTGAATCCATTTTACAGAAGCTACTAAAGGTACAACTTGGACTTAAAGAAGAGCAAAAAGTTTGTGATGCTCTGAAGGCAAAGCATGTTGCAGCAACTGCAGAGCAAAGGCACTGTTATTCTCTCTTAAAAGCTTTCCAGGTAAGCACTGTGATCATGACATCACAATTAATACTTAGTGTTTGCGACACTGGAGCCTTCAGTTAAAACTTCTGTTATTGTCTATCATATTCTGGTATTAATGAATAATTATTTAGGAAGTGCTGCTACTTAAGAAAATGTCTAATGTTAGAAAACCATCAACTGTTTTTCCATCCCTTTCTGGGTGGTCCAAATGCTGCGGTACCTAGAAATTTATATTTTCCTAGCGTGGTCAATATCATTGTCCACTACTTCACAGAGATGTAAGAGTGTTGGTTAGCAGTTTGGCAAGAATTGATAGTAATTGTCCTGGCTCTTGCCAAACTATCTATAACCAACTCTCAGTTTACTGATTCCCTCGAAATTACTGAATTAGTACTTTAAATATGCAGGAGGAATGTACAAAGAATGAGGTACTCAGAAGAAGTGCCACTTAGAACATCTCCGCAGCATGTGAAGTCGAGTTGTTAAGCCAACTTCATGCCGTCGCTCATCGGTTGAATGCTTTACTCATTCATTTGAAATGAAGGATAACGTACCAAGATACAAATAATGAATAGAAATATCAGCTTAATCAGCTTGATGTAGAAATTCAACTCATCTTTTCCATACTGGATGTGAATGATGTGAGCGATGTCTTATTCTCTGGCGTATCTCTTTTCACACAAAGGCAACGAAGCAAACAATGACTTTTGTTTTTTTTTGTTTCTATCGATCTACATACAATACCTACTCCTTTCTGATAAGGATACATTAATTAATTAATTAATTGCGTCGCCTTAATTGTGCCTTATCTACCAGGTCAGTTTTGTTCATGAATCTTCACACGTTAAAAACAACAAATCAGACGTACGCAACTGTGATTGTAGGATAACAATAAGGTAATAATGTGTCATCATATGATTGGCTCCTCATGCTTCATTGACTGTACTTTATTAATACACTAAATGCTGATTAAAATCAAAAGAACGTTTCTCTTCCCCTTTATATACTTTTATTGCATGCGGTCCAATCATTAATATTAAGTCTTCGAGAAGTTAAAAAATAAAAAGAACATGCATGCACGACATCTTTGCTAACAATAACAGGAGTGAGTTAGGTTGGACAGGATAGTAAGCTCACGTTCCTTTGTATCTAAATTCGAATTTTTTTATGTGAATTATTATTTTTTATCTAAATTTTAGACTCTCCTGGCTATAAAAACAAAAAACAAAAAACAAGAAAACAAGAAAACAAAAAACAAGAAGAAGAAGAAAAAACTCATAACAATAACACATCTCTGGCCAAGGATTAATACCCATAAAATAAACCTTTCAAAAAAAAAACCATAAAATAAAATAAAAATTACAAAAACCATCTGTGTGTTTGACCTCATTATTTAATTAACTTAGATTCACCATAAAATATATAGGGAAAAATCCCATTTAATTTTGAATAACAGAAAGCGCCTTCTCGAAATGCTTGCCCTTGATTCCAACATACTCCTTCACTGACAGAGTTTGATACCTAGGCACTTCCCCAAAATCCTTGGACAAAACTGGGGAGACTATAAAATCACCTGGAGGAGCATAAAAATAGGCAAAGGAGAGCCGTCGGATCGGTGTGGCCACCACACGATGACGGACAGTTGTAAACACCCCGTTGGAGAGGATGTGGAAAATGTCACCAAGATTAACTGTGATGGCACCGGGTACGGGTTGCACCAGGACCCACCCGGCTCCCTCTTTGAAGACTTGGAGGCCGCTGACTTTGGATTGCTGGAGAATGGTTATTAGGGACGTGTCTGTGTGGGGTGCTATGCCCATGGCTCGGGTTGGGTCAGGGCAGGGGGGGGTAACAGTTTAACTGAAGACCAATACTTAATCCTTCAGTGTCCTTAAGCCAAGCCACTTCTTCAGGATTAATGTTCAAGGATTTGAAGATAATGCGGATTAGCTGCTCGGTTAATGCTTTCAATTGACTCCGATAATGAACCATTGTGTCACAAAAGAAAAAAAAAAAAAAAAAAAATAAAAAATATAAATTATAATTTAATCATAATTTTAATTTAATTACTAATAATGTAATGAACTTAAAATATATAAGCAATCATTTTTATACAAACATATATACATAATCGTGAAGATTTTATTTGGTGGCTCGATTTTGAACTACATAAAAATTATAAGTTCAAGCTGATTCTTATAAGTCTCATCCCTCTAGATAAGACTTATAAGACACTATAATTGAACTGTTATGCAATTTTAATAAGTTCACTAAACAGTGGTCAAGGCATTAGTACAAATTCCAGAGGGCGAAAAGTAAACTATTACCCTCGCAAATCCCAAACGAAATATACACATATGGAAGAAACTATAATTGGAATAATTTTCATTTTGTCTACGTGCATGGAAATGCATGGAGGACTTACCAAAACCCTTGATAGTCATTGGGCCAAAGCAGCTTAGCATGTTCGACTGGAGACCCCATGATATGATACCCTTCGTGCCACATAAGCTTTTCAAAAAATGGCGATATAGGAGGGAGACCATATCCTGATTGGCTCCCCCCTGGAGATCTTAAGGCCTTCATCTTTTGGTCAACTGGTAGATCAAACAATTTTTCAGCCTCAGACTGCACATCCTCCATAAGCTTGGTGGGAATGCCATGGCCTATCAGTTGAAACACACCCCATGTCTCACATGCCTGGATTATGAGCCTGGCAGCATCTGGATCCGCGAGGTCGATAACGGGCGGGCCAGTGGAGTGGACCCCAGATGGAGACTCGTCGGACTCATCAAGCCATACATGGGAGTCGGGTAATGTATGGACAGAACCATAGTCAAGGGGGATGTGTTGGGGTTCGAGAAGGGTGTCTTTATAGGATTCTGCGAGAGCACCCATTAGCAATTGTCTTAGGAGAAAGAAACAGCAGCAACGTAAGACTGAGAAAAGATCAAGACTCAAAGAGACTGGTTGTTTTGCCTGTGTTGACTGGAATGTATATATACATATATAGTTATACACATGGAGATGAGAAAGAAAGATGGTATTGGGTTTTGACCCTAGATATAGAATGTAATCTTATATGGAAAGGTACGACCCTAGATATAGAATCCAATCTTATATAGAAATACATATATCTATAATATGTATATCTTTTTCTATTTTTGGCCAAAATGTGTATGTATATATGGAATGTCGTTTCATATGAATGTTATGCATGAATCACATTCAATATATGCGTGTATGCACATATGAGAGTTCATGCATATAAGATATATCTTGTCATGTACTTATCTATTCTATGTTTTTGGTGTATTAACGGTTATAAATGTCTTATTAAAATGCTATTTAATAATATGTATATCTTAAGTAGATTTTCGGTGTATGCATTATGTGTTTTTATCGTTTCATATGAACGTTATCCATGGATTACATTCGATGTATGTGTGTATTTCTATAGGACACCAATTTGTCATTTCTGACAAGCTATAACTCATCAACTTTATCAATTGATTATATGTTATAGAATCGTGCTCAATTTACTTATACAAAAAATTGAAACCCAAGCGCTCGCGCCTTGGGCTGGATTCCACCCATTCAGAAGTTACACCCAAATGCAAATATGAAACAAATTTCTCGTTTCAAATAAATGTTATATATGGGTCTCACATTTGATTTTTCTATACATATGACAATTCCTGCATATATGTAATGTTTCTTAATTGTCAAGATGAAATTCCAAAGATATAAACACATCATTTACTTACCTTATTTTATGTTTTCATGGTATTAACAGTTAAATGTCGTATTAAAATATTAACTAATTTTAAGAGTATGCGTAGAGATTAATAATATAAGAGTTAAAAATTTGATTGAAGGAGGACCGAATAATGAACAATAGAGCTGAGCAAGGGTAGGTACCTTCGCTAAAAAATGTAGATGTTCAATCCACCAAAAATTTTGAGCGTAGAGATTAATAATATAAGAGTTCATGCATATAAAATTTAGATGTTCAATCCACAAAGAGTTTTTAGCCTTGCAAAATTGTACCTTGGCTAAAAAATTCTTGAGTTCGCCAGTGGTGGAGAGAGAGAGAGAGAGAGAATTTAGCAAATTATTTTTTTACTATTATACTCTCATTATATTAGATTGTGGTTTTCTAATATTTTTGTTAAGTATGAACATTTTCAGGATTTTTGGATGTTTCAGTATTTGAGGCTTCTGTCTTTATATATAGATAGATAATAGATGTCATACTAACAGCTAACACGTTGTGCTTAATTAGGTGAGGACTTGCGCCCATATCCGGCTAAATTTTTTTTAAATGAAGATTTTATTTAGAATTTTCTAAAGGTGGAGATGGAGGTTGATCGTCTCCATTGTATGAAGGAGATGATGGAAGTTGATCACGTGGTGGTGGAAAGTTCTGCTTTTTTCAATCGGATGATGGTGGTGGTTGTTTGGATTTTTTAAAACTTATTTTAATTATCAAAATAGTGTTTTGATGATACAATAATAATTTTTAAATTAGTTTTTTTTTTCTCAATCCTTAGATCTAATCTGAGGGTGGTTGACTACAATTTTCTTGGACTAAAGGGGTCTAGGAGAACGGGACTCTACCATTATAATAAGAGACCTTGACTATTATCTTTTTCCCCTACGACATTGTGACGTCATGTAACACCATCGCTATTGCATAGCTCATATAGCAGGGTAGGTAGATAGAAGCCTTTACCAAATTAAAGACCATCGGCCCTTCTTCATTCATAAATAAAAAAAAAAAAAAAACCCTGCCCTCTTATGAATTGGGGCCTGCAACTACAACTGCAGTCCATTTGCTGTTACATATAGCTCATCATTGTGCCAGTAAAATAGGAGAAAATTCTACCTCAAACTATCTGCATTGAGCTTTTACACAGTCGGCTACCAAATGCAAAACAAGTTTAGAGGTGTGTTTTAATCACTTCCATAAGAGCAACTCCACCCATTTGCCCTTAGCCATGGCAAGGGGGGAGCTAGGGCAGCCACTATTCACGTGAATAGTGGTTGCCCTTGCAAAATCCGAATTTTGTGTTTTCACCAGTTACTATTCTTTTTTTTTTTTTTCACAACTTTTTTTACCTCAATAATTAATTTGGATAAGATTTTCGGGTTTCTACGTGTCAATACTATTCATATCTCATAATCGGATAAAATTTTCAATTTCAAATTTCAGATAAATTTAAAAAAAATGGCTGGTATTTATAGAAAAAAATTCATTAATTTTTGGGTATTTTTTAAAAATTTTTCCGAATTTTTTCCAGTATTTTATTGCAAAAAAATTGGCTGCCGTTGGATTGGAGGAAAAAATCAGATCGGAGAGCCCAGACGACGCCACGTGGCAACAGGGAAAAAATAAATCAGTGGGGGTACTGTATCGATACTGTAGCGGGTACTGTAGCGATGACGTCAGCAGCCCTCGTTTTGGACCTCGGGCTGAAGCTGCCTTCGGGCCAGCCCGGGGTGGTGGGCCCCACCCCCCGGCCCGCCTGGGCTGCTCCGCTGGAACGCAATTTTTTTTTTTCCCCCTAGCCTCGGGCTGGGCTTGCTGCTGGAGTGGCTCTAATAGGAGAAAAACAGAGGAAAACAAGGGAAAAGAGCTTGCATTGCATGCCTGAGGTTATCTTTCTTTGGAATGTGCAACTGGATCAAATAAAAAAAAAAAAAAAAAAAAAAAAAAAAAAGAAATGTTAGGTCTGTGTCTCTGTTTGTCTTATTCTTGTCAACCCAAGTACATGTGCTGGGTATGAATGTTAGGTCTGTGTCTCTGTTTGTCTTATTCTTGTCTCTGTTTGTCTTATTCTTGTCAACCCAAGTACATGTGCTGGGCATGAATGTTAGGTCTGTGTCTCTGTTTGTCTTATTCTTGTCAACCCAAGTACATGTGCTGGGCTGCCCCATTTGTGTTTATAGCGAGGAAGAGAGTTGATAGAATATATTTATTCAAGCATTGAGCTTCTTCCTATATATAGCCCATCATCGAGCTTTTCTTTTCCACAACAAAAAGAAGAAGAAAAAAGTCGTTGAGCTTTTCTGGTAACCGACTTGCTCTTTTGTGCATAGCAGGTGCGAATTCCCTTCCTTTTTTTTTGTTTTTTTTTAATTGATGGCATTTTCATGAAGATTTTAGTTTCTTATGTTTTCAATGGTAGTCGGACATTTTGAAATGAGCAAAGGTCATGTTAAAATGTTGTAACTTTATTCTTTTCTTTGAATGGAATTTCGTTTGTTTCTGTATGTTTTGACTGGAAGCATGAGATCTAAAAGGGAGGATATAAATTCTTGAGATAAATATTTACATCACGTACTTAAACCTCATGAAAAATGGAGTAAAAAATCTGGTCTGTTTTCACCTTAGGTCTACATATAATATGCATAAATATGCTCAGATATTTTCCCCCCAAAATAAAACAAACATACATTTTTTAAATTTGTACATTTTTATTTGAAGAACATGAATTTCTGTTCTTCACCACTTGATGTACAAGTCCCTTGCAATAAGATGTTATCGATATGATCTTTTTGAGAGAGAGAGAGAGAGAGAGAGAGAGAGAGAGAGAGAGAGAGAGAGAGAGAGAGAATGACCTATTATAGGAGGATAGGGACTAATCCCACTAATCCCTGTGCAATTGGATTGTATGCTTGCAATGTGTGGATCTTCTCAACCTATCTATTGTATGAGTTCGCATTTTGTGATGAATGTTTTCTAATTTTTTGTCGGAGCATCTTGAAACGTCAATTATGATTGAAACATTTGTTGATTATGGTGTCTAGAATCATCGCCATCCTCGTCACTTACAATCAGAACAACACATAATGGGGAAGAAGAAAGTGGGAGAAAGCAGCAATGAAGCTCTTTATGACATAGAAAATCAGTTGACAAACTTGCGTGCCCTGTCCCCTGCCTGTTGTATCTACAGGGTGCCTGCGCGACTACGGGAGCAAAAAATAAAGGCCTACACACCACAAGTAGTCTCAATAGGCCCACTTCACCATGGCAGCAAAAACTTAGAAGCCGTGGAAGATCACAAACTCAGGTACCTAAAATGTTTTCTTGATCGGACTAAAGTAGAATTGAGGGATTATTTCAAGAAAATAAAGGAGAGAGAAGATGAACTCCGTCATTATTATGAAGACACTAAGAAGTTTGAAATTGATGCTTTTGTGAATATCATTCTAGTTGATGCCGCCTTTGTCATTGAGCTATTGTTGAGGAATAAATCTGAAGAAAAATTGCAGGATGATAATGCTTGGATATTTAAAAAACCATGGGTGCTACAAAATATATTGCCTGACATGCTTATGCTCGAAAATCAGCTGCCATTTTTCATTCTCGAGTATCTTTACAATCTCACAGATGCTCAGACTGGGGAGCCTTCAATAATTGAACTCTCTTACAGGTTCTTCCAACAGGCACTGCGTTTAGAAAACTTGGAGAGCTCACCAGCCTTCCATAAGTCTTTTATGTCTCGTGATTCTAAAAAACCTTTACATTTTGTTGATTTTATTAGAACTTTACATCTGCCAGATTCGACCCCAGAAGAAAATGTAGGGCTCCAAAGTACACCCAGCATGACAAAACTACACCAGGCCGGAGTTAAGTTTCACGCGGTATCAAGAGAGAACTTATTCAATATACAGTTCAAAAAAAACACCGGTACCTTGGAAATTCCAAAAATTGAAATACATGATTACACAGAGCTTACACTTAGAAATCTCATTGCCTTTGAACAATGCCATTGTGTGGATAAATACATAAGCGATTATGTTTTCATCCTGGATAAATTTGTAAACACCCCAAAGGATGTAGAGTTGCTTGTTGAGAATAAAATTGTTGTAAACACGCTAGGTGACAACAATAAGGTTTCCAATATGATTAACAAGCTTTGCAGTAAGGTTGCTAAGAACCACGGAAACTACTACTTTGGTACTCTTGCTGACAGTCTAAACAAGTACTGCGAGAAGACCACGAACAGATGGAAGGCAAATTTGAGACAAAAGTATTTCAACACACCTTGGGCAGCTATTTCTCTCTTTGCAGCTATTATTCTTCTGATACTCACTGTCATACAAACAGTGTGCTCTATTATCTCTGTTATTGATCAAGTATTAGCAGTAAGTCTCTCCGTAGCCATTTTCTTCCTATCTTGTTTTTTGTTTTTCGTGTTTTATTTTGTTTTCAAGTATGTAAAAGAGTGGATGTGGTGTTGTAGAAGAAGTTTGTAACCCTGTTGCTAATAAGAGCAGTACTATTATTATTATTTTTCTAAATGCAAGTGTGTAAAACACTTACAGCTGGGAATAATATAAGAATATGTAAAGGAAAATATAACCAATCTGGAAAAATTACAGATCGGTAGACACTGAAGTGATCAACAGTGCACTAGCTAGGCTCATTGCATAGCCTCTTCCGAGGTCTTCAAAATATAAGCTGCTGAAATGAGTTGAAATATGTAACCCATCAAATTTTCGTTCAGTTTTTCACATTTAATATTTCAAAATAATCAGTTTCTACAATATTTCCCTAATAAATCTCAGTACATGGATACAGAAAGTTAGACAAATATAGGGTTGAGAAAGTGAGATGAATATAGGACACTGGACGAACTTTCTCGTGTATACATAACTTGAAAACAGGGGAAATGGCATCAAACTTGCTTGAAAAATCGGTAAACTTGTGGTTTTCTCTCTTTGGGATATGGAACTTGCTTGGCATCATTATTAGGAGAAAATTATATTTTCATCTGCCAGAGGAGCGAAGTAAGCTGCATTGAGCTTCTCTTGTGAGACCAAAGGGAAAACCAACTTGGTCCTTTGAAACACAGCAGGTGCAAATTTAACTCAATTTCTTTTTCGTTTTTGTTTTTGTTTTTTTCCACTTCATAATCATTCGTCTGAGATAATGCTTCCATCTTCATTGCTATGTTTGTAGCACATTTCCAATATTTTCTTGAAGATTTTAGTTTCTTATCTTTCATGGGATGTAGTTCGAAATTGGGTATGAGAATTGTGTGTAATTGTGTTTTTACTTTCAATGGAACTTTGGTTTGTCTTTGTTGTGTGTTTTGACTGGAGGCATGAGAAATCTAGAAAGGAGGATAACATCTAGTACTATCTAGGATTCTAGTATCTGCTATTATTGTTTGAGAATTTGCTTTATTATTAGAAGCTACAATAATAATAATAGTATAGCTAAATCTAGCTACAACCATTTTCCAGATAACAGTTTTTATGTTATAACCAAAACTGCTTTAGAATTTTCTAAGAAGTGGCATGGATTGAGGACCAACAGAGTTTTGTATGAATTTGGAGGTAGCCACAAGAATTTTAATGGCATCCGGGACGGGGATGTAATTGAAGAAAACCAATTACAAAATTATCTTCGAATTTAGGGTGTAAAGTGATATGTCAAACTGAATTAAGACTTGTGACTTATTGCTTTAAAATAATTGAAGAAAACCAATCGGTTTATTTTAAATTTTGGATTTACTAGCCGCTAAGACAGAGATAAAGAAAAAGAGAGAGAAAGCTTCATATCCGAGAGGTTTTCTCTTGGATTTTCAGTGTTCTTCGGCTTTTGGTGGACCTATGTCGATCTACTCTTCTTTTGGCATATTTCTTATCCCAGATTTAGACTGGCTTTGGTTGTGCCTCATCCTGCGAGGCTCTTCTCTTTGAGGTGTTCCGGCTTGGTCTTGGTAGATACATAGCTCATTGATGCGTTGATGCCCTAGAGTAACGTGGTGGCGCTCTCTATATCATGTCCTGAATGAAGATTAGTGACGGTGAGTTTTCCTTTTGTCGGCGTTGTTTTAGCCCTTTAATCTTGGTTTAGTTTGTTCAATAAAGTTCAGAAACTCTATGCGTTTAGTTTGGATAACAACTAGTTTTTGTCATTGTTTTCTTTGGACTAAATTTTAGGAAAATTATGGCGGTTGAGGGGTTATAGAAAAGTTATTTTTGAACGTGGTGGCGGTTGAGGGGTGATGATACATAGGTGATAAAGCGGTGATAAAGTGGTGAGACAATGGTGATACAAGGGTAATACATAGGTCAAAAGTTTTATTTACCTCTACAAATGTAGCATGTACTGCTCACATGACTAAATTTAGCAGAAAATGTAACGGTATGACCAAAGCGCCGATTAATAAAAAGTTGGTGCAACATTTGAACGAATAATTTAGTTTATGGACAAAAATATAAATTGGGTAAAAATTTGAGGACCATTTGAGTAATTTATACTTTGTTGCACTAAAATACAGATAGACAATCATTTCTAAAGAAACACATATACATAACTGTGAAGATTTTGTTTGGAGGGCCAATTTGAGCTAAATTGGAATAATAAGTCCAAGCCGATTCTTATAAAGTCTCATCCCTCCATATAAGACTTGTAAGACATTATATTGAACTGTTGTACAATTTAATAAATTCACTAAACAGTAGTGAAGGCATTAATAGTCCCAATCTTTTGGACCACAGGAGTCCATGGTCCAAGAGATTGTGGTTACCCACCGTTGGATATTAATCCAATACTCCAAAAAAGTTTCTTAAAATGAGTGCAAAAGTGAGTGAACTGTTGAAACTATAATTGGAATATACATATATGGAAGAAACTATAATTGGAATAATTTTTCATTTTGTCAACGTGCATGGAAATACATGGAGGACTTACCAAAACCCTTGATAGTCATTAGGCCAAAGTAGCCTAGCATGATCGGAGACCCCATGATAGTAAACCTTTCCTACCACACAGTGGCGGTTCTAGGATTCGAAAGTCGACTGGGTAAAACTTATATAACAAACTTGACGAAATTAGTGAATTTCATTAATGAACATAAAAAAAATTACATAGTGAGAGGAGATGTAATAAGCCTTACCCTCAAATGCATTTATATCTACAAATACAAAAACTAAAATAAAAACCAAAAGAAAAATTAAAAGAAAAAAATAGAAAAAAAAAATTTATTTCACATTAAAAAGAAAGATAATATAGAGGACTACATTAATTTTAAAAAAACCAGATTTATTTCGAGAGAAATGGGAAGGAAGAAAATTGGCGGAGCTAGGTTTTTTTTTTACCAAGTTGTGACCTCATTTCTCTCATTGTTTCCTTTTATAAACGTTTATTATGACATCCGTTTTTAGCTTTCTACCTCGAGCTCCATAGCCCTATCAATCATGTTTCGCAATTTCTGAAATAGTTATCTTTGTGCAAGACAAATTTTTTAAATAATCATAAGTAATGTAGGTAATATTTTTCTAACAAAAAGAGAGAAGGAAACGGAAGAAATAAGGAAGGGAGAGAGAGAGAGAGAGAGAGAGAGAGAGAGAGAGAGAGAGAGAGAGAGAGAAGAAAAAGAACGGGAAAAAAAAAGAGAGGAGGGATGAGAGAAGGAGAAGAAAGAAAGAAAAAAACAAAAGAGGGAGAGAAGAGAGAAGGAAAACAACAACAAAAAAAGAGATAGAGAGGAGAGAAGGAAAAGAATTAAAAAAAGGAGAGAGGAGAGAGGAGGAGAGTGTAAGGAAAAGAATATATATATATAAAAAAAGGAGAGTGTGAGGAAAAGAATAAAAAAAGAGTGGTGATTTCCCCACTTCAATTTTATCCACTTACACCCCATTTTATAACTAAAAAAGGAGTGTATGTGGATAAAATTGGAGTGGGAAATCATTACCCTAAAAAAAAAGAGGAGAGAGATGAGAGTGTATGTAATATTTTTTGGGAAATTTGCATAAATACCATCTAAACTTTTAGGCATGTGCGTCATTACCACCTGAACTTTTAATTTTTTTTTACCCACCTAAACTTTATAAAGTGTTACAATCCACCACCTACGTATAACTCCGTTAAAATTTATGTTAAGTTTAGGGTATTTTCATTAATTAACAATAACTAAAAATAATTGTTAAAATAAAAAAAATAAAAAAAAGGTTCAACAGGTGCTAAAGGTCATAATCTTATGGTGATGGCAGAAATTGACGCCTTCTAAACTTCTTGTGGTTGTGCCCTGGTCTAATCGTATGGTGATCATATATGAAAATCAGCTGCACAACACCATGACCACCTCTTCTTTCGAATGTCCTTTTTGTGAAGGCATGACATATCTGATCTCACTAGCTCAATGAGTGTTGGATGGCATGGAACCATGGAACAATAAGAATACACTTAAGCAATCAAGTACTCACGTTGAAGGATTTATGCAGAGGGTGTGTACAGAGGAGGGTATGGGTGTTGGGGGTGGAGAGGCCTGGTATAATTAGGTTAACATTTTTTTTATTTTTTTATTTTATTATATATATACTATTTTTTTTATAATTATTTATAATTATAGTTAATTGACAAAAATACCCTTAAACTTAACGGAAGCTTTAACAGAGTTATATGTAGGTGGTGAATTACTACACTTTACAAAGGTCAGGTGGTTAAAAATAAAAATGAAAAGTTCACGTGGTAATGACACACATGCCTATAAGTTCATGTGGTATTTATGCAAATTTCCCTATTTTTTTTTAACAAAAATTAAGGCCGGGCAAAAGAGAAGAGAAGAGAGAGAAAAGTGTGGGTAATATTTATTGAAAATAAATTTGGGCCGGGCATGAGCCCAGCCTGCCACAGGCTGGAACCGCCCCTGCTGCCACGTATGCTTGTCGATAACGGGCGGGCCGGTGGAGTGGACCACAGATGGAGACTCGCGGGACTGATCAAGCCATACATGGGAGTCGGGCAATGTATGGGCAGAGCCGTAGTCAAGGGGGATAGGTTGGGGTTCGAGAAGGCTGTCTTTACAGGATTCTGTTGGAGCACCCATTATCAATTATCTTAGGAGAAAGAAACAACAACGTAAGACAGAAAATATTAAGACTCAATGAGACTGGTTATTTGCCTATGTCGATTGGAATGTATATATATATAGATGGAGGTCAGAGAGATATCTTATTGGGTTATGACCCTACATTGGAAGGGTACGACCCTATATATAGATTATAATCTTATATGGATATACATATGTATAATATGGAAATGTAAGATATATATTATAACCTTATATATATATATATATATATATATATATATATAGTCCCTTTCTATATAATCACATTCGTTGTATGTATGTGTGTATGTAAATATGAGAGTTCATGCACATATATCGTGTTCTTAGTTGTCAAGATAAAATTCAAAATATATATGAATATATTTTTGTCACCTATTCTATGTTTCCAGT